TCCGCTGATTCCGGTGCTGGGAGGCATATTACCCTTTTACTATATAGGATAGAGGCCTGGTGCACGGCTGGTTTTCCCTGAAGGGTGTCCTGGATCAGGGTGGGGGTCCCCACTGGGGTGCCTGGCCAGCCTGGATGAGAGGATGATGGCCTGGCCAGCCTGGATGAGAGGATGATGGCTGTTTGCAGCTGGTCACACCCATTTCAGGGTGGGGGTCCCCACTGGGGTGCCTGACCAGCATGGATGAGGGGATGATGGCTGTTTGCAGCTGGTCACCCCCTTCAGGGTGGGGGTTCCCACTGGGGTGCCTGGCCAGTCTGGGTGAGGGGCTGAGGGCCGTTTTCAGGCTAGCGGGTGACTGAAGCTCCCAACCTGTCCTTTTTTTCTTTTTTTTTTTTTTATTCTGGGCCAGCTTTAGCTCTGAGGCTTGGCTCCAGCTCTGAGGCCTCAGCTGCTGAAAGCAGGTATCTGGTTTGTTTGGGTTCTATAATTGTAACACTGTTGCAGTCCTGCTCACTCCAGCTCTGAGATCCTGGCTGGCTGAAAGCAGGGATCTGCATTTGTTCTATAATTGAAACAATGTTGTGGTCCTGCTGGCTGAAGCCCGGCTGGCTGAAAGCAGGTTTCTGGGGTTTTGTTTAGCTTCTATATTTGTAACAATGTTTCAAACTGCAAGCTCAGAGGCCAGCAGCGGCAGGCGGGGAATGTTGGCTTCCTCCATCACTGGAGCAAGCAAGCCTCCTGTTCACTTCAAGCTGCCTGGCTGCCGGCCGCCATCTTGGCTGGCAGTTAATTTGCATATCGCCCTGATTAGCCAATGGGAAGGGTAGCGGAGGTATGGCTAATTACCATGTTTCTCTATTATTAGATAGGATTAGATATTTATGTACTGCATATTTCATTTTACTCTCCCACCTCTTACTCCTTATTCATTTTAATTTATAGCAAATTGTTTCTATTCAAAAAACCTTTATTAAGAACTGCTATGTAGAGGGCACTATGCAAAACATTAGGAATGAAGACAAGTAAGATAAGACATATCACCAGTGATTCTTCTTACCTATAATTCTTTTTTCTTCTCCAATTCACTCATAATCAAGCAAACTTTAAAATCATAAACATAAATACAATGTTCTGTGTTATAAATAGTGTCAGTGGCAGAGTTAATTTTTAAAAAACAACCAAATACTTAACATGATATGAGTCTGGGTTTTATTCAATATTGAGATGGAAAAATTTGTTTAGGTCTTATTTACCAAAGGCAATCAATACTAGGGCAAAAAATAGACTTGTGCCCACATCCCTACTACTCCTAATACAGTGCCCTATAGACAAGAGGCCCACAATGAACAGAATTACAGGCATCAGAGATCAGCAAATCCAATCCTCTTTCCTTATATGCTAGTACAGTGAGATCTAGAGTTAAGCAACTTGCCCAAAGTCATAACATGAGCTGATACCATGAACCCAAACTTTGAAAATGCTTTAAGTGCCTAAAGCATAAAGTCCTATAATATGCTGAGAGAGATATATAAACATAACAATGCAAAACCTAAAATTAATTTTTACTGAAAGTACATTTTAGCATTAACTGGTAAAATATTCAAAACTCAGATATCAAAAAGATAGTGTGATTAAGAAGAGAAGGTACCTGCAAAAACCTAAAAGAATACATTATCATATATTCTACTCGATAATTTACCAAATTCAAAATAACATAGAAAAAAAGTTTCATATGCCTTTCTTTATGTATCAATCTTGTGAGTAAGAAAATTATTTTAAGCAAGGAAACATGTCAATTTCTATATCTTATTTACAAGTGTACTAAATTATATCCCACTGGTATGTACAATATTTGTAACAGAATAGAGTTCACACAGATTTTCATTTTTCAGAGTAACTATTTTAGATCATGAAAAGGGATGACTTAAATATTTTATTCTGAGTGGAGAGTAAGTAAGTTAAAGCCATGTACATTAAGAAACTACAAGATAGATCCTGGCTGGGTAGCTCAGTTGGTTAGAGCATTGTCTCGATATGCCAAGGTTGTGGGTTTGATCCTGGTCAGGGCACATACAAGAATCAACCAATGAATGCATAAATAAGTGGAACAACAAAACTCACTCTCTCTCTCTGTCTCTCTCAAAAAACAAACAAAAAACTTATGAGATAAAATAATATTTACCATTCATTGAGTGTTTATTAAATGATATAAACTGTGCTAAATAAGTACCTTACACATACCAGCTCATTTCACAACAAATGGGTACAATGGGTAATATAATTATCTCCATTTTGCTGATTATAAAAATGGAAGCTAAGAGTAATTTGTCTAAAGTTACTCAGGTAGTGGTAAAAACAGAATTCATTCTCAAACCCTATGGCATTCAAATTCTATCAAATCCTGACCTTCAGTAATTTAGATCAAGGTCAATTCATCATTTTTAAGGGGTGGGCTACATGATCTCTATGACCCCTTCTTACAATGATTCTGTGAGCAAAAACAGAAATCAGTTCAGAATTCACCTAATATCTGTGCCACTATACTCTAGGTCTAAGGAGAAGGCCATCAATAGATAAACCAATAATAAGACAAGAAGGGGGGGCAAGGGGGAATAAGAAGACAAGAGCAATAGGCTCTTCAAAGGGGCCTGACATAGACACATTTTACTAGCCATCTGGGCCACTGTGACAAGAGTAGGAAAGGGGAACTGCAATAGAAATTGAAAGGAGAACTGTATCAAGCCCACTGATACTGCCTCACAGCAGACAAGGAGGAAGCTGTGGAGAGGCCTACAAGAGTCAGTGGCCATGAGCTCAATGCTGGGCTAAGTTGCAGCGTTCTAACATAAATACTGGTCAGTAGTTAAATAGGAACAATTGAGCATAGATGACTAACCACTAGGTTTCTAGAATAAGCATTTCCACAACTGGCACGCATTTGGATCAATCTGAAATGTGTAATACTATGGAGAGTGTACTTTTAGGACACGATGGCTAAGGAGCCAGCACTACTCTGTTAAGTTCCTACCATGTTCCAGGCACTGTGCATATGCTTTCATGTGTTAAGTCTCACAACAACCTTGGTAGATGTGATGGTTAATTTTACATGTCAACTTGGCTGGGCCACAGTGTCAAACATTATTCTGGATGTTTCTATGAAGGTGTTTTTTTTTTTGTTTGGAATTAACATTTCAATCAGTGAAGTAGATTTTTGAGTAAAGCATATCTACCCTTCATGATACAGGTGGGACTCATCCAATCATGTAAAAGCCTAAATATCACAAAAACTGACCTGTCCTGAGCAAGAAGGAAGTCTGCAAGCATACTTCCTTTGGACTCAAACTGCAACTCTTCCTTGGCTCTCCCTGCAAATTTTGGACTTACCAAACCTCCACAATCATATGAGCCAACTGCTTAAAATAATCAATCTCTCTTTGTGGAGACACACAAACACACACACACACACACACACTATTAGTTCTGTTTCTCTAGAGAACCCTGATTAATACAGTAGATATTGCTCTTTATGTCACCACTCATGAAAATGACAGCCTGAAAGAACCCATTCTCTCTTTTTAAAAAAAATATATTTTTATTGATTTCAGAGAAGAAGGGTGAGGGAGAGAGAGAAACATCAATGATGAGAGAATCACTGATCAGCTGCCCCTGCATGACCCCTACTTGGGATCCAGCCACAACCGGGGCACATGCCCTGACCAGGAATCCAACAGTGACCTCCTAGTTCACAGGTCAAAGCTCAACCACTGAGCCATGCCCACAAGGTGGACCGATTCTCTTTCCCCACAATATCACACAGTAAGATGCCCTCAGGACTCACATTCCAGTCTGAGGGTCTAGTGTGGGAGGTAGAAGGTAGTGAGAAGCAGGAAAACCTTGTAACCACAAGTCACACATCCCAAGGAGTCTTTTACAACACATGTATCCAGGAGCCTTGATGTGCCCAAGTGATGAACTATTCTTTGTCTGGTCTCCTGATTCAGTTATTTTGAATAAAAGAAATGGAATAGCCCTCCTAGATCAATATTTGAAGACTTTAAAAGAAGAGGCAGGGGCTACATATATGTTCAGTCTTACGGAGAATGGGGAAGATTAAAAACTCTTAATAAAAGGACTACAAAATCAACTTTGAGCTGAGCATACGATGACAAGCTGGTGTTTTAGGTTAAATATTAGATACTAGAGGTCCAATGCATGAAACTGGTGCAAGGGGCTCGGTCCTCACAGCCCTGGCTTCGACTAGAAGGTCATCCGGTCTGGAAGGATGTCCTGAGGGTGGTTCTGCTCTTCTGTCTAATTAGCTTATTAGCTCTTTATTATATAGGATTATTGAATAAGATACTGGAAATTTATATTTAAAGGCAACTTTGTGATAAAGGATGACTGCTATGGTGGAGTAGGGAGCAGAGTTGGCATGAAGTAAGTTGGATTTGGCTGTAGCCGAATTGGCTCAGTGGATAGAGCATCGGCCTGAGAACCAAAAGGTCCCAGGTTTGATTCTGGTCAAGGGCACATGCCTGGGTTGTGGGCTCAATCCCCAGTGGGGGACTTGGAGGAGGCAGCCGATCGATGATTCTCTCTCATCATGAATGTTTCTATCTCCCTCTTCCTTCCTCTCTGAAATCAATAAAAATATATTTTAAAAAATAATAATACATAAATAAGTTGGATTTGACGGGAGGTCATGGGCATTTGAATTAGATCATCCTCAGAGAGCAGAAGGACTCGAAGTGACTGTCCTGGTCAATTAAAGAAGCCTATGGAGCCAGGACTGAGAGTAAATTCTTGGTACCGGGAGGAGAGATTGTAAACAGAACTGGGCTTGGGGCCACCCTCTAGAAAACGTGATCCAGAGATGGGACAAGTCACAGGCATTAGGGGCCTGAAATGCCGGGGCGGGCTCCGGTGCCTGGGGTCCCGTCGGTGGGGCGGGAGACCGCCATGCCCCAGTCCTTTCCTAGCCCCTTACCCAGCCTTACCTTCTGCTCAATGTAGTGAATCGAGTACTTCATGACTACAGAGGGGCGGGATGTAAAGCTGGTGGACAAGTGCAGGTTGCTGAGGGCCTTTAGTGCTGGCGGCACGGGGATGGCGAGCCCGGGCATCAGGAAAGCCAGGAGTAGAAGCAGGACGAGGCGCCCCATGGCTCAGGCTGGCGGCTGCAGTGTGGGTGGGAGGTAGACCAGCAGATGCGCCCAGCCCGCGGCTCCGCCCGCCACCCATTGGCTCCTCCCCCGGGAAACCCACAGCCGCCCCGCCCCGCAGCCCGGCCCAATCCCCGATCACCCGGGTCACACTGACACTGGCCCTGGCCCTGGCCCTGGCCCCGGCCCCGGCCCAAGGGCGCCACCACATTTCATTTCCCTCTTGTGCCATCTCCACTTTAGAGTCCACCCGCCTTTCGGTGACTCCAAATCTGCTCTCATCATCCCGGGCCCCCAAACTACCTGACCGCGGACTCCCATCCTCACCTACATCGCC